CCTTTTGGAAAGACACTTAGCCACTCTGCATCTCAGTTTCCCAAATTATAAAATGAGGCTGGTTAACACTTTTGTACCTTGCAGGGGAGTAGTGAGACTAAATTCATATGTATTGAAAGACATGACAAAGACCATAACAATTCTTAAACGCTGCCAAATTTAAACTATTTAGGAACATTCACAGAGCTAGGACATCTGGAAGATTTGGAGTCAAAGCTTCCCCTGAGAAAGAAGCTCATTGTGTGTCACCTCTCCAGAAAGATATTTTCAAAATTTCAGTGGGTGAGATCCTCACCCCATGCTCTGGTCCTTTATACTGGGTAAAATCGGCAGAAAAATATAAAGAGGCTCTAAAAGCCTTTTGTTTGGCCAGGGTAGCATACCCCTGGCACAGGATCAGAGGAAGACAGTCATAAGGCTGTCTTCTGAGGACCCTCCCACTCCGCAAAACTCTGGAGTTCGGAGGGATTTGTCAGGGGTTGCAATTTAACACTACAGAGATTATGGGCAGCATTGCGGCCCAGAGAGCTGTTAAGGGAGACTGTCATATTTTAGGCTTCTGAGGCAGTCCACATTATACCAGGGGCTGTGAAGCCATGCTGGATTGTGAAGTTTAAAACCACTTCAGACCAAGCTAGGCTGTGAGAAGTGTGCTGTGTCTGTTAGAGGAACAGCACAGATTCTCACCCAAAATGTTAAAAAGAACTGTGAGACAGCAGTAAATGAAATGTGCTCTATAAGTGCTAGGTATCATGGACAGAAAGAAAGATGAGGAAGGAGATAATGTGTCATGACAGACTGCTGAACTTGGTGCAAAGGCCCAATCAAAAAAAGGAAACAATATCCACCCTGTAATTCTTTATAAATGAATGGATCAATGCCCATGTCATTGCTCTTTAAATTTTATCACATTCTTCTTTTCCCACTCATCTTTTGAAGTGATCAACAACCAAGGTACACATGGGTGATCCAGTGAACATTGTGTACAGGAGGCCCCCGCTTTACAACGGCCCGATTTACGACCCCCCGCACTTACGACCTTTTCCTAAGTGCAGAAGGGGCCGAAATCCCCTGACTTACGTTCTTGGCTCCACATTTATGATGGCGCACAACACCTGTCATAAATGTGGGCTCAAGTTATGATGCCCCCAACTTGCGATGCTATCCCAATAACCGATCATGTCACAAGTTGGGGGCAGCCTGTACTTGGTCTTTCAGAAAGCAAAGTCCCTCACCAAAAGCTCTTAAGCAAAATAACCTGTCACAGAATAAGAGGGAAGGTAGTTAAGTCCAAAGCAGACTGCAAAGTGTTACAAAGGGATCTCACAAAACTGGGTGACTTGTCAAGAAAATGGCAGATGAAATTCAATGTTGATATATGTAAATAATGCACATTGGAAAACATAACCCCAACTACACATACAAAATGATGTGGTTTAAATTAGCTGTTACCAGTCAAGAAAGAGATCTTGCAGTCATTGTGGACATTTCTCTGAAAACATTTGCTGATGTACAGAGAGTCAAAAATGCTAACAAAATGTTAGGAACTATTAGGAAAGGGATAGATAATAAAACAGAAAATATTATAATGCCATTATACAGGCAGTCCCCGACTTACGTGGATCCGACTTATGTCGGATCCGCACTTACGAACGGGGCTTTTCTCGCCCCGGAGCTCACGGGCGGCGGGTCGCCACCCGTGTCCTGTGGGGTGAGAAAAGCTTCTCCCGGTCTCCCTGGTCTTCTGGGGGGGTCCAGCAAAGCCGCTGGATCCCCCCAGCAGACCAGGGACACCCGAGCAAAGCCGCCCAGGCGGCAGGAGTCCCGCTACCTGGGCGGCTTTGCTCGTTTGCCCCGGAGCAAAGCTGCCCAGGCAGCGGGACTCCCCCCACCTGGGCAGCTTTGCTCCCGTCCCCCTGGTCTGCTGGTGGGGGGGCCGCCAAGCCACTGGACCCCCCCCCCCCCCCGGCACAGG